ACAACTTGACTTTAGCCTAGTAAAACTATTTCTGGCTTCCAGAAACTCAAGAAAAAAACTTTGTATTGTTTTAAGTCACCAAGTTTTGTGATGACTTGTTACAATAGCAACAAGACATGAATACTTTTGGAAGAACATGCGCATTTATAGCATCACATGCAGTCCCATGCTTTTCTCTAGAAGAAACATGCCAGCCTCTTTAATGGTGTTCCTTGAATCTAAGCATTTCTTTTCACCACCACCTCCGCTGCACAGAGTGGGACTTGCAGAATATAAGAGTTATTTGGCCAGAGGTTAAGAGTGGGGCCTTGGTTCTGTGGGCAGAGAGAGGAGAAGGAAGGTTTGAAGGAGGCTGGCTGAAGGTGAAGGTGATGCTGTCAGGCAGAAATCAGAGAAGGGCTCCTGCAAGAGGCCACCTTTTGTCTGAGACTCAGAAAGTTTCCTCAGGACCACTAAACTTTAGGGTGGAGGATGGGGAAACCAGAAATTCTTGAAGATGTGAGAAAATGTGCTGCTTCCTCTTAAAATGTCCTCAGAATGCTTGTTGTTTTCAGGAATAGGATTGACACTAAAACAAAAAGAATAACTTTAAGAAAATCGTGATCTAATTCTCCTTGGACTAACACCTGCCTGAAGTATGCATACCTGCATAATGATGGGCAAAAACTCTAGAAGGCCCAGAGGGTGACATTGCATTGATGAGAGTCTTATGCACAATACCATGTGTACTTTATAATTACACAACTTAAGGAAGGAATGAAAAATATGCCAGGGAATAAAACCACCCACAGAAAGCCAGAGAACTGAAAGAGTATGTGGTAGGCACTGCTCAGAACCCAGAAGGTACAGGCATTCAAGGGGAAGCAGAGCAAGAGACATCCAAGAACAATCAGGGAGCCTTTGAGTGCTCCGTGGGAAATAACAGGGGTTGGTGGGGAGTCTGGAGGCAAGCAGGATGCGTGCTGCCAAAGCAGGAGATAAGGACTGGACAAATGACAGCAGCTTAAGGAGGTCTGGGTAAGCCTAACTTTCAAGGGGTGCTGGGAGCAGGACCAGGCAGCAGAGAGGGGCAGTGAGCCCCTGAGAGAGGAAGTGAAGGCACTTGACAAGGTGCATGGGGAACAGAGCAGAGACCAAGCCTGGCGACCTAGGCACAGCGTGTCATGCGGGGTTGTGCCTTGTTCACTGTAAGATGCACCTTGCGAAATGTGGTACTATTAATAAATATTCAAGCATGCAAATGATTTACTTTCAGCAGGAAAGAAGTGAGGAAGGGAGGAAGGGACTTAATATCACTCTTAATTACTTACATTCTGATATGATTTCTGGAAATAGTAAAAAGTAGGAGAGTTGAAACTAGTACACTGGAAATTGCCCAGGTCCCTGCCTTTTAAAGGAACCTTCTGACTGCACTGTGGAAGGAAAGTGGAAACCAGCACTGTCAGGAGGTCGCTGAAGAACCCAGGGAAGCGATGCAAATGAAACCTAGTGACAGGCAGAGGGGCATCAGTAGCTAGGGGACTAAGGCAGGGGCTGGGCGGGGTGAGTATGCAGGAAGCAGCCCAGGCAGGGGGATACAAACTCCTGGAGAGGCTTGGCAGGAGGCCACCTTATCTCTCTCGGCTGGAGGCCAGGCTCAGAGGACAGTCATGGGCAGAGGTAAACTGTAGGTAGAGTGGGAAGTTACAGAAAGCACACAGATGACCTCAATTTTCTCAATGACTCATGAGGCAAGGTTGACTGCTGAGAGCTGCTGAGAGCGAGGAGGCAGGAATTGAGAATGGGTCTTCAGAGGAGGGCTGAGGTCTATAAATAGTCTTCTAACTAATTAGCACTGAGGAGCAAGCATGTGAGTCTGAGTGCCTGAGATGCCTGCTGGCAACCACTTACTGGGCACCTTGCACCCGCTCTGTGTTGGCTGCTGTGTGGGGGTCGGTACAGTTAATATGCCTAACTTACAGAGCTTTGCAACCAGTGAAGTCTTAGCCATCCATATTTAAATACTATTAAGGTCTTGAAGAAGCTATTGATTCCAAAGGGGTAGCTTTTTAAAAAATGGTTTGGGTTATAGTTGTGAACTTTTTGCTGTGTGATCAAAACATACAGCTTGTACATATATACATATATGTATATTGAATGAATAGCTGCTATAATATCTCTCTATATACACACATATACACATATATATAATTATAGCAACCATCCATTCCATGTATGTTTGTTGAGCAAATTCCACATGTTGAGAACTATGCTAGACACTGAAAACACAATAATGAGCACAAACAGATGAGGTGTCTGCCTTTATGGAGTGAACAGTCTGATGGGTCTACAAGGAGACATTCAAACTAATGTAAAATTACAGTGTGAGCAGAGCTGTAAAGGGCTGTACATAGTGCGATACGAAGATAGAATCAAAGCAGGTCACGGGTGGGGCAGGCGGAGCTGATTCATCCTACCTTAGGTCACGGATCGACCTGTCCAGGAACTTCTCCACAACTACATTCCAGTTCCTTTGAAGGCTGTGAATCACAGCCTGCTCCTCTCTGATTATGGCAGCTGATGTGCAACTGTGCACACAGAAGGTGCTCCATGTGTGTTTAATTCCGTGTGTGGGAAGCTAATCCGCAGTACTCGTGGCCTTTCTTTTACAGGATAACTACAGATGGGCATCTTGGTAATAAGGGAACATGCCCATCATCTTGCTGACTTGGCCAGAACAACACACTCTCAGGCATGTCATGGACTCTCTCGTCCTTACAATGAGGAGTGTCATTGACATTTTTCCTTCAATAGAGCACTATCAATGTTCTTGGCACTGATGTACACTGAGGATCTATATACTTCTTTCTCTTTGTTGTTCAGGGTAACTTCCCTTGACCCACACAGGTACCAGGGGAAGTGGGGAGTAATTGTTTAATGGGTACAGGTGTCTGTTTGGACCAATGAAAAATTTCGGGAAATGGATAGTGAAGATGGTTGCACAATGTTGTAAGTGTACTTAATGCCACTGAATGATATAATTAAAATGGTTAAAATGGTAATTTTTATGTTGTGTATATTTTATGCAATAAAAAATCCCACAAAATTAAAGCTTGAAAATTTTTAAAATAGAAAAAATACTGGTTATGAATAAGTGTCACTTTTTTCCTAAAGCCTTTCAGTAGTTCCCTATTTTCTCCTGACCAAATCCTTCCTATAACCAGGCTTTTCATGGACAGGGTGCCCCCTCCTCCTATGTCTATCCTTGAACCCTACACTCCTGCCAGGCCAAACAGCTTGCAGTTCTCCCACAGTATGCGCTGCTTTTATATGACTCTGGGCTGTACTCCCCGGTGTCCTGGCTCTGGGATGCTCTGCTCAGCCCCCACCGTCCAGCTGGAAAACACCTTCTCATGCACCTGAATTTAGCCTCCTCTAGAGGACTTTTACCAACTCGCATTTCAGATATCCCTGACCCTTGCTAAGGAAATGACCTCTCTCTCTCTTGCTTCCTCACTTTCCCCTGTGTAGATCATTATCACAGCAAACATAACATTGAATGCAGTTGTTTATTTATAGGTCTATCTTCCTGCACTATACCATGGGAGGCAGGGGTAAAACCTTTGTCTATATATGGAGCATGTTTTTAAGATCTCTGGCTCAAACTGTATGACCTTGGGCAAGATACTCAACCTTTTTTAGGTCTGTTTCATATTCCATGCAATGGAAATAATAATAGTCCCTATGTCATAGAGTAGTTATGAGGAATAAATGATATAATGCATGTGAGGTGCTTAGAGAGGGTCTCATACACAATTAACAATAAAGTGTTTCAAAAAGGAAGTATATAACTAGCAACAATTGTTCAGTGCTTAAGAGGTTGAACACTAAAGGTCAAGAGTTGACAAGAAGAATGAATAACCCAATCCCAGGTGTTCATTTAGAAAGACATATGAAGTTGAATGCTTGGAAGGAAGAACAATATAGCAGAATTTCTTTTAGCGCGTGTACAAATAATGTGGTCTCAAAATACTTCCAAGGAGTTCCCAAGTTTTAGGTTCCTGCCATAAACTCTTCTGCTCCCTCTAGAGCCAGGCTGATCAGGCTACAGAGATCCTTATAACTAAAATAGCACAGTCATCTTAGCAAACAGGAACAAAATATCAATGAAACCAGTAAGAAAACTTACTGCAATCGGTTGCAATACCAAAACAGTGGAGGGGCTTCATGCTTTAAAGAATGTAGCCAGCCCTGTTGTAGACTTTGAGAAACTCAAAGTTTTCTATTCCCACCCTCTTAACATCAAAATTTTGGTTAACTAGCCTCATTGCTGAAAGTTTAATCAGTAAGTAACCCTTTCTCCAAGGTAGCCTGGCTGTTGATGTGAATTCTTTTTTCTCAGATGCTGGCTGTTTTCAACGAGTGCAGCTGGCATATGTGGTGCAGATAAACCATTATGGGACACAAGTACATTGTTTCTTATAAGGTAAAACTCACTGCAGTGAACACTGCCAGTCCTCCTCATTTCCTGATATGGTGACTGTACCTTTTTTCCATGCTGTCCCATTAGAACTGATTCCACACCCAGCCTCGGGGATGGAGTTTGGGCACCAGGCGGAAGCTATCAGCGCATCTCATTTCCATGTCCACTGACGTTCCTGGATCATAAGGGACCTAGTCAAAGTCCATGGGATGCAATGGCATTTTCACTGTGCCTCCTGGGAGAGAGATTGTTACTCATAACATCTGACCTAAAACATAAGAGAATCAGTAGGTTAGCAGGGACCTTGTTGGTACCTGTAAAACTCTAGGATGAAGTCAGCATAATGGAAGGCAGAACAAAGAAATAGAGATTAAAAAAATAAGTGGGTTCACCAATATGCTTGAGCCCTGAATAGAATGTGCCTGAAATTAGCCATTTTATTTTCAGCTGCTGAGTCAATACATTTCCTTTTTGACTAAGCCAGTTTGGGTTGGGTTTTTCTATAACTGCAACTAAATAATCCCACTGACATCCATCAGAGCCATTCTTCCCAAACAGGAGCTCCGCACTCTGATTCCATAAAAAAGATAACTGGTTTCTCTAGAGACCTCATCTGTGAATGAATCAAGCCACATTCAAGAGGGTGTTTGGGTAAGAAACTCTCCTTTGGGCATGCCTGTGGTTCACATTACTGTATGGGCCAGGAAACTCCTATAAATTTCACCTGTTGACACATTTTCTTTGCAAGTATTTTGCTACTTGAGGGGGAGAAGCCGGAAACAGAGGTGGAGAAGGGAAGGCATGAAGCAAAGTATGAATGATTGTGCAGGAAGCAATATAGCTGAAGACCTTTTAGCAAAGGACTGGCATGTGGGTACATGCGGTGCAAATTCATGGTGGAGGAACTAATCAGGCAACGTTATCTGATCTGGAACAACAAGAGAAAGAAAGAGTCTTTTTCCTTTTCCCCTGGTTTAATATGTCTGAAAGCCCTTACCAAGGAGTCAGGCTGGTATTGGAAGTGTCCAACCAGAAACCTTGACTCCAGATTGTGCCCAAGTGGGGACCTGGAATCTGGGTTGTTTTCCAGGAACCAACTGTCATTTTTTCATTTTCAGAATGAAACTGGATTTTTGTTCTATAAAAGCAGGGCAGGTGCTGCATTGAAAACAAAAGGCTAACATGCCGAAGCCTGAATATAAAGAAGTAGGGAGTTTCACAAGTTCTTCTGAGTAATAGGGGCTAGTCGCAAGCCTGGGGCTGAGGAGGCTGTGGGAGCAGAAAGAGCCTGTGAGGTTATTTCTCCCATGAACAGCAAAAGCTCAAAGAAATAGCCTGAATAACTGAAGCCCAGTGCTGCTCCCATGGAAGGCAGCAGAACCTGCAGGGAAGGTCTTGCACTTTGGGAGCAGGGCTAGGTTCAGAATCCCTGCTTCCATCCCTAGATGGCTGTGTGGCCTCGGACAAATTAATTATCCTCTCTGAATCTATCTCCTCATCTGTAAACATCAGTTAGATTCTTGAGAGAAGTTAAGTTGGTTGAATTACATCAAGATCCATGGCCCATAAGAGCTCAAGTAAATGGCAACTGCACAACTTCACTTAACCTGGGGAGACTCACACTGAAAACTGGGCTGCAGGCACCTACACACAGATACCTTCTTCTCATTTGGCAGGCAGAGGGGTCAAAATTCAGTGTCATCTTCATGGGATTTTCTATCTAATATCATGAAAACAGCACAAATTTGAAGCCAAATTCCTGCATCTTTTTGGGTTCTGCTAAGCTCAACAAAACCTTGTCCCTACACTGCTGAACAGCCAACTCTGAATTTCAGACTGGCTAGACATAAGCCTAAATTGAAAGCTTTTCATTGGACCGTCAGTTTCTCAAGAGCAGGAAATGGGTTTTATTCCTCTTTTTTGGCCAGATGCATAGCACAGTACGTTATTGGTTGCTCAAGAAATTTTTATTCTCTCATCTAGAAAAATGAATTCGTCGCAGGCCAGCTAACCTAAACCTCTGTTGGAAAGGACTCAAAGTAGGAAGGAGGAGGGAATATAGACAGGTGACAAATAAGCTCAAAAAAACATGCTCAACACCATTAGTCATTAGGGACTTGCAAAATACCACAACACATTTATTAGAATGCCAAAAATGACAAAGACAGACTTTATGAAATCCCAGTGAAGATATAGAGAAACCAGAACTCTTAAACATTGATAGTTTATTAATCTAAAATGGTACAACCAAATGGAAACAGTTTGTCAGATTCTTTAAAAGTTAAATGTATACCTACTGTATGACCCAGCCTTTCTATTACCAGATATTTACATAAGACAAAAGAAAGTGTATCTCCATTTGCAGACATATATATGAATGTTCATTGTAACCTCATTTGTTATATCCAAAACCTGGAAACAACTAAATGTCCACCAGCAGTTGAATGGATAAACAAATTGTCTAATACCCATCTGGTGAAACACTACTCATCAATAAAAAGAATGAACTCCTAAAATATACAAACAACATGGATGAATCTCATGAGAGAAGCCAGACCAAATAAGGATGCATACTGTATGAATCACTTATAAAAATTCTAGAAAATGTAAACTAATATAACAGAAAGCAGATCAATGGTTGCCTGAGGAAGAAGAATTACAGTAGGAAGGGACAAAGATGGGGGGAATTTCAAAGGGGTCCAAGGAATTTTTGGAGTGAAGGATAAATTATTTCTCTTGATTGTGCTGATGCTTTCATGGGTGTAGACCATTGCCAAAGTTAGTAACTTGTGCACTTTTTAAATGTGCAGTTTGTTTTATGTCAATTCCACCTCAACTTAAAAAGTGTTATTTCCTTTTTTTTTTTTTATGGATAATGAGAAGAACAGAATTTTGTGGTCAGTCAGAAGTAACCTCCATATAGTTTCCCTTTGCTACTTTGATATTAAATTCTGAAAGATTCTGGACCAGAGTAAGGGAGACTGAAAGGAGACTGTGAATCTTCCTGTTGAGAAATAAGGCTTCAGAGAATGACCAGCCTCTGGATTTACATGCTTCTCAAGCACCAGCCAAGCCAAGCTTCCCTCTCTGGTCTGGATTCCTTGTAGTAAACACATCCTATTCCACGCAATTCCATTAAATTCCTCGGCCCACCACCAATCCACAGTGCCAACTGCTAGTGGCTTTGTTCTCCAGCCCCAGCCGGGCCTGCCAGACCACACCTTTCATCTAAACCCTGCCATCACGGTGCCGCACGCCACTGCAGCCCACGGGACAACTTCACCGCCGCATCCATGCTGATCTGGCTCATCTTGCTGTCCCTGACATTTCCAACAAAGTGAGAAAGGTTACTATATCTGCATTTCACTGAAATATGCTTAAAAGATTTCCCCAGAGTTTCAGTTCACATCAATGGGACTTTTTCTCCCAACACTCCTTCAAAAAATGTTTCAAGTCTAATCCCTTTCGCTACAGCCATGCTCCTTTCCACCGGCACTACACATTCATTTGGGGGATGCTTTGGACTCTTCCTAGGTGAAAGACTGACATATATAAAGGCATCATAAAAGAACTGTAGAGGGCTTGGGCAGGATTATCCCAAGAATTCTATCCACCCACTTCAAGCAATTTCTTCTGTTGATCTTTAGGATTATTACTGAAAAAGTCCAGGCTTTCGCTTATTTATCCAGAATATCAGTCTTGTTGGAGCACAGTTAGGCAGTATTGCCAGGGAAAAGGGCTTTTTTTTCCCCTGACTGGCTCAAAGTGGGATACCAGAACTAAGTTAGAAATAAGCCTGTATAAGATTTAAGGATTATAATCAATTCTCCTAAACTTAGTTCAGGAGAGCTAGGGGAAGTGATTTTCATCCTCCTCCAACATATACTCGGGAACAGCCTGAGAAACAAAGTATACAACCCACCCTCCTTGCAGAGTCAGGATTTTGCTTGAAGAGTATGCCTGTGTATGTGTGTGTCTGTGTGTGTGTGTGTGTGTGTGTGTGTGTGTGT